CCATTGATTTTTATATAGTAGTGTTGTATCCAAAGCACAAATTAGTTTTCAACGATGTTAAGCCCTTAGTGAAACTTTTATTTATTTACGAACGTTAAATTATGTAACACTGTTAAATGATATTTAATAATACGTTACGATTACATCACAAAGCATGCAATGCACTTTTGTAACACCTCTAGTGTAAGTTAGGACGTTCTTTTTTATTTTATTAATTTATTAAAATGGGACTTCCAAATTAAAGGGGTTCCGATCTGAATATTGCCTTTTTGTTTCATTTACTTTTCTTTTTTGACAGGACTTATTCTACGATGACATATTTATTATTCTTGATGTTTGTGTAATTGTAGCTGACTATATAATAAATATGCGCTGTGAAAGTTAGTCTTTTTTTACCACTTACACAATAGTTATATAAGAAATTCATACACATATTCGACATCATTAATTATTCTTAACTAAGTATGCTAACATCAAATCTATTGAAGATATACAGCGTGTCGTTACCACCGCGACAATAAATGAACACACATATAGAGGATAACTTTTTAAAATTGTATTAAACATTTACATTCTTTAAACATCAATATTTACGGAGTTATTAAATTATCCAAAACAAACAATTTTAGAACAGCCTTACATATAAAACTATAACGTAAAGTTCATTTATAAAGGTCACAAAGCATATGAATGGGTTGAATGAATTTAAAAGAGACAAAACATACTATTAGAAGGAGAGGCTTGTAATGCGACGGTGTGGCGCGAGTTGTATAGGATGTTACAAATTTTGTTTCTCTTTTACTTAATTAGTTTGTTTGAAAAATATTTTTTTTTAATTATTGGCAAGTAGCGTTAGACGTGTGTTCATTTATTGTCGCGATGGTAAAGACACGCTGTATATAAAGTGGGCACAAATAATGGAAGCAACAGAATACTGAACTCTGTTAAATTCGGCCCACAGAACATAAGAGGTCAATTGGTTACCGCAAGACGTTCCAAACGCTGTGAATTTTGTAACCCCATAAACGGGAAAAAGTTCAAAAAATGTTCCATTTACTTAGCCTTCTACACTGCTTAAGAACGAACCTGATAACAACCTCATTGCTCGGTGATCCCATGAGCGGATGAACTCCTATGGAAAGAAGTTATGACTTCCCGTAAACATCGCCCCAAAAGTCAATGCACGGTACAATAAGTGATAGAAATTTTGTATCGATAAATAAATCGGTATTAATTATCCTAGATTCCCTCATTTGCTGCACCCACTCGATAAACGTTTATACGCCTGCGATTACAAAAAATCGGTTTCAATATGCTATGTGTAGAATTGGTCACTGGAGATATAATTTTGACGTAAAATATGGAGCTAATGTCAAACATCTATCGGGATTTTGGATCAAAATTCTGACAGGGGTGGATTTTTGGAGTTTTTATTTGTCGAATACAATTTTATTGTGAATATTACAAAATTGAGAATTTAAGAACAACTTGACATCAGCAGTATTATGATAACTCACAAAGCAAGCCATTACTAATAAAAAAGAAAAAAAACACATTTAACGCTAGTGAGCAAATCTACAGATACATAGAATATTGAAACCGGCCGTTAACGTACATTGGTATACATGAAAAATAAGATTGAAAGTCATAGCTTTACCTTGACACTTGCTATTTCAATACGTAAGGACTCAACTCTACAAAAGAGCTGACACATACAAACACATATATTGAAAAAAAAATTATATAAGAATGACCATTATACGATTTAAATACATACTACAACCTCCGCTGCGGGAGTCACCTACGTCTTCCAGATTCGCTAATACCATCTTTAATTTTTTCCCAAGCTAATAGTAGCAAACAGCAAATCGATAGTCGAATTCAATGTTAAAAATGAAAATATTTCATGTTTTATAGAAAACTGCTATTTTTATCTGTCGTAGCGGAACAGCTGTAATATTTTCATTACCCATTCGTAGTCACGGATACACACACGCATAATGAGACTACATCGATGGTACCCAGTGGTAGGGCCACGCCGCATTCTTCGCTGTTGCACGAATGGGCAAGTCCCTGCCGGGAAGTATCACGTCCTCGCAGAATTTATTTATCTAAATCAAATCAAATATTCATTCATCGCAGTAAGAAATATACATTTCATTAAACGATAGTCATTTTTTAAATCTACCACCGTTTCATATGTTAATGTTATAAATTAAATGATAACACACCCTGGATCGCTCCAGGCTCTTTCAAGTTGACTTCAATACATTTGTAAACATTTATTTATTTGATAAACAATGGTATAAAAAAAGGCTCGCTGAGTTTCGCTCGAAGATTCGCTGAGGTCAGTGGCTTTTCATTCCGAACCAGCGTTTTGACAATCAATAAAATAAAAAATGTAATTGTAATGGTTCTATGTTGAATTTGAATTTGCTTCTATTTGAATTGATTAAAAATGAGGTTTCTTTGTTTAGTTTTACCGTAATAAAAGATTACATGGGACTTGCTATAATGGGGATAACGAAATAACAAATTTTGTTTTAGCAGTGATGAACTCTCAACTATAGAACAAAATTGTGGTATTGTGGACATGGCCATTGCTATAGTACTGAGTTGGTTAGTAGCCACAAAAACTCTACAATAGAGTGATTTTGTGATGCAGCCTACTTAAGATTACCCTTACGTAGTTAAACTACTACAATCATTTTTGGAAAACTATAGTTTCACTGTATAGCGACATGTGCAACAGTTACTATTGTAATACAATTACTATTGTAATTTACAGTTCCTTGAGTACGACTGAGAAAAATAGGAAATTTCGAAGTAGTTCTTTTAACGCGTCTCGAGAAAAATCCCTTCTTCGTCGCGCTTTATACTTCTGAAGGTCTAACTGCAGTCGATTCCTTTTGCTGTTGGTAAGCAAGGGTGATGGTGTCTACTGATTTCCGCTAGGAGTATGTATTCAGAGTGTCGGAGGGCGGTGGTAAAAATCAGGTCTGTCAACATCATATCATCCTCCTGACCTTATCCAACTTAGCTGAGGTCAGCACTACACGAGAATGAACATGATTCAAGTTTAACTACATAAGCGGAAGCGTTTTTGGGTTTATTTTTTCTAGGACCGACCGAATGCCTGGCGTCAACCCAGTCAACCCTACTTTAAATACATACATACGAAATAATCTCTGTATTTCAGCAAAAAGCTCCCAGTATTCAGTGTCGTTACAAACGACGTCATCCTCTAGTAGCCATTCCGCGTATCTTACTTAATCCACTCGTTATTTGACACATTAGCTGTTGCGATCTGGCCCTCTTTACTTATTACCATTGCCCTTGGGCCGAATAGGGGCCTAGGGCGACCACATATGGGCGGACAATCGTGACCAAAAATTCACTGATGATAACAAGATATATGATGGGCTGAGAAAGGGGCGGCTTTAACTTAGGTACTACATGGGCTGGGGCCTAGGGCGACCAAGACTAATCCGCGACTGGACATTACCATAACTTCTTTTTCGTCCAGCTTATGTCGACTTCGTTTCCCTATCGTACGAAAAACGCTGGCTCAGAAGCTTTTGAAACTTCTGCGTTGTGTGGTTGCAGTTCTTAAGTTCGATTAACTCCAAATTTCATACTGTTATAAAGTTAAAAGTAACTTTAGTTAAATTAAATAGCGTTGTAAAGTTAGAAAAACCTTTCCTTTGTTTTTTTTTTTTTTAATTTATTCATTTTGGCGCGTTTGGAATAAATTATGAGAACACTTTAACGAAGTGCCCATACAACGACAGGTAGCCCAAAAAGATACACGATGAAGTTGACTGTAAAACTAACAACTTCGCGATATTACTATGATAACCAATGACAACTTTTTGCCAAATAAGGAAATAATCCCAAGCTATTTAATTAAAGCGTTATCGATTATTGCATTTAATTTGTTTTCTCAATCAAAGAGTCCAAAGGGGACAAAATAGATTTCTTTTGTTACGTTAAAGACGTATACGTGCTAATATAACATAAGTACGCAATTTTTTTTATTCACACTTTCCCGTCGAACGCTTGTTCCTGGTATATCTTCTACTTTCGCCGCCCATTTCGAGTTTGCTGCATCGCGATGCGATCTTCTGAGCTCGTTTAAATTATGTGCCATTAGAATGTTGCATTTACTAACGAATTTGAAACACCCCCAAAAGCTGCATGTAGTAGTCTTATTTCTGTAATCAGATAATGATTAACGTGTGAACCTGTTAAAGAACAAAGGATTGTGAGTAAAGGTTAGCTAAATTAAAATCATTTTTATGCTACGCGCAACGACACTTCAAAACGCATTTGCTGAAAAGGCAAGAAAGAGCAAAATCGAAGCAGTTCTAGGGAAGAAGACAGTAACTTCCAGTCCAAAAATAAAAGTAATGTGAAAAGAAGCATCCAACTATTACAGAAAAAATGCTTGTAGACTGAATAGGAATGGTATCTTCTGTTATGGTGAACAAAAATTGAGTCACCTCTGTGCAATATTCGGGCATATTTTAAATATACAGATGTTCCGTTATGGATATAGATATTCTGTTTGTTTGTCGAATAGAATAATTACAACACTGATTTATTTTGGATTTAACATTATAACGTCAGATTGAATTTAGTATTTATGAAATATCTCATTAAAAGTAATAAGTCTCAAATATTGTTTAAATTTCAGTCCCGCTCCCTACACTTAGTCATTGTGCGAGATGGATATGAAGGAAAAAAAAACGAATGCTTACTGTGATGTTCATGGCGAAAATAGATTTTTTTTTTGTAAATTACGGCAAAATGAACGGCACTAATCACCCTTTTAAATATGTAACATAAAGGTTACTTACCACCAGAGCGACGCGTCGAGTGTCTGGATTTCCCATTCGATTCGATGCCAGGTGCCGCGTATGAACGTCTTAATTGAGCGATACAATCTGTCGGTGGTCGAATTGAGAGACGGCCACTTGTTAAGGAACTACCGGCCGCTACCAGGAGCCGCATTTCGGCCAGGCTCTCGAGGAATAAGTAATGAGCTGACAGCACGGCGACAACGCCCCGTAGCCGGCGCCCAATGAAGTGTCTTCGAGGGTGTTCTCAACCCCCGCGGGACGCCCCGCCTCGCGCCACCGCCTCCTCCGAGACAGCCGCCCCCAAATCAAAGTTGGACGCCGTAACCTTCGCACCGGCCGCCCGCCACCGACGCACGGTGAGTCCCGTTTCGTATATTTTTGTTTACTACACATGCTAACCGATTATAAGACCGTGCGTGTACCGTGCTCTTCGCCTCAACTAGCCAAGTAATTGATTATAATGCAATAAAATTAATGCAATGAAATAATATTAAAGAAGGATTAGGAAGCTACGACCGAAGTTCGAGTTTGGCCCTTCTCTCTACTGCTCTAATTAAATTCGCGAACGACCCATCGGTCGTTTAGTATCATCATAATGGTGGTCCTTTTTGCTGTAAACCGATTTTTAACACGATAATAAAATCATTTTGCCTTTGACTTTATTACACGTTCAAAAACGTTACTATTCCATATAACCATTACCTAATATTTCAATTAATTTCCATCCATTTAAGTACATATAAACATTTACAACTCTTCTTTTTTATTTCTGAGTTTATTGTTGGCCGACAGACGTCTGTCTGTACACGCGATACGTGTCTTTTTTATAATATATGGCCCGTAACTGCAATACTTACTTTTCATAAATTTCGTAAATCCAATTATAAATATTAATAAAAATTCCTCACGTACCCACCTACGAGAACATCAAGGTAGCGGCGCAATTTCTTTTTTCAAATACCACGCAGCCTTAACGCATAGATAATAAAATTGAAATGCTATTTTATCGGGTAAACGTAAATGGTAAATGTAAAAGTAAATAGATTTGTGTGAAAAATTGTAATGTGAGGATGTGGTTCACAGTTCATCTGATGTTAAGTGATTACATCTGCAACACCTGAGGGGTTCCTCCACATTTCTCGAACTTCTTAATGAGCGTTAGGCGAATTAAGAAAACCCTAATTATTTAATATTAATAACGTTATTAGAATGGATTTATGGCATAAAACACAAAGTTTTCAAATGTCAGATAAAAAAATAATTCTATTTTATCCAATGTTACACGGGTGTGTCGTATAAAAATGTTAAACTTTTGCACGAACAAAATCCATTGATAATGCAAACATCTTCACAGTCGATTATAAAGCAACATCCATGTTTGTATGATTGATACAAGTTAAAATATTCTTTATTAATATACTATCATTATGCTTTGAACACACTCTAAACTAAGTTACTATTAAGCTCAATGTCTTTGGGATTAATAAACTTAGTCCGAAATGGTCAATCACACGTCGCAAGCATGTTGAATAATGTTTACATAATTATACATACGTAAAATTTTACTACTTACGAGGATAAGCTTTTGTATGTACGAACGTGTAGAATGGTATACGCTTTTGCAACTTCTCTTATTCTGAGGTTGTCTCATTTATGATTCTCTGGAAATTAACCGCTCCTCTTTGAAGTAGACTTTAATAAAATTTAAAGTGACCATGTTGTAAGTAAACATGTTTCTTTGCCAAGAAAAGGTAAAGAAAAATTGTTCTGTTGTATTTATTTCGCCGGTTTTTCGCAGATCAGTGGCTTTTTTCCGAACCGTTAGTAGTATTTTGACAATCAATTAGTAAGTGTTATGTTTCTATATTGAATAAAGATACTTCAATTTGAATTTGTCCATCAACAGCCGAAATCACTGACCATTAGATTAGCCGCTTGCACATTCAATTTCCCGCATATAAAAACCCTTCAACACACACTATTCTTATCATATTAGTGTGAGGAATGTTTTCCAAATATGTTTAAAGAAAAATTATAGTTAAAAAACTTATATTTTTTTTTAATATGGCAAAGAAGGCAGTGATTGATTTGATGTCAAGTGTTTACGGTAGCCCACGGGATGCAACTTTGTTGCCAACGTTGTCAACACTACAATATGCCCTTGGTTAGTTGTAGGGTTGCCAAGTTTAAGTGTATCGCCTCCGGTTACCGAACTCACCAGAAGAAACTCAAAACTATAAACTCGCTCTTTTTTTCGCCAGTGTTCTCTTGTCGAATCTGCTGCGTATATAATTTATCGTGCTAATTGTTGCAATTGTGTTCGTGCTTATTTAGGCGTGCTGTTGACGGAAGAAATATGCGTACTGATTCAAAACTAAAACAAATCTGCTAAGATCAGTACCTTATCGGGGAGGGGTCGCAATTGGCTTACTTTCTTAGACCTTGGAAAGCAACTGTTTTAGCTTCAAATATCTAAGAAAGCTTTTTAGCCGTAATAGGCTTCGGCGTCGGGGCTCGTGGGTTCGATTCCCACACGGGACAACTATTTGTTCTTTCGGATCTGGGTGTTTGTCCGCGTGAAATTTATGTTTGTAAAACGTCCTTACAACACAGGATAATGTTATCCCAAAGTAAGGGCGATGTTTAAAAAAAATAAAAAGAAAAAAATATATATATAGCCATAATATTTATATTTCCCATTGTTTCTAAAACTAAGTTTAGTGAATATCAACCTTTTATAGACAAATAATCAAAGGTATAATATACATAGGAGGGACATCGGGCTGATGATCACTGTGTTAACCGTACGCAGACAATACAAATAATTTAGCCGACAACAAGTTACAGTTCTTGTGACTTCTTTTCCGAACCCACGTTTCCGAAAGCTTCCGATAGTCGTAGGTGCCGTCACACCTACCGAGCCTTACCGCGAGGTACATTCCACCGCAAATGATTTAAACCGCGACACGTCCTCGATTTACCTAACGATGAGACGACTATCGCCATCAACTGCGAAAACACGGTCCCATAGGAGTAAACAGCTAAAGCCGAGGTACCCTCTTGGCCGCCTTTGAACCAAGTTACTCCATGGAGCGTCCGCCAAAGCGACCTAAGAGCTTGGCGCCCTCCCAAACCGCTGATTTTAATAATAAGACGAGACATGGCTGCCTCGGGGGCCATCAAACTTATTAACCCAAAAACAAGGTTCAGGCTAGGCGCCAACAGCGGCCGGCCACCTTAAGCCCGTTGGATCTGTAAAGGCCTCCTCAAGACCAACAGTGACAGACCAAACGTTTTTCGTTTATCTTAGAAACGGTTAAACAAAAAACGGAAATTATACATTATTAAATGAAACTTTTTTTACAGATAGGTATACTCGTTTATATTAAATTTTACGTTATAGACGGTAATTTTTTTTAAATTGCTTTGTTACTTGCAACGCCACGGTCACGGGAGAGACTAAAGGCCCATTTACACGGTGCAAGTTTCTTGCCTGTAGTATACAATTAAATTGAAGCAATAAATGAGTTGCATGGTCTAAACAAGAAATGGTCTAAACAATTATTGCGCGCAATTTATTGCATTCAATTATTGCTCTTGTATGTTCAAGAAAATGGCATCGTGTAAATGGGCCTTAATGCTTTTTGTATTGAAATTAAAAATAAACGTGATAAATTCATAAAAATAGTTTAAATAAACAGCATCATTTAAATTGCAGAAGTCAGAGTTTTAGTGCAAATTAGCGGATCTGGCAAAAGTTGCTTGGGCATATGGATTATTTCTAGGGAATTTGTGAATCTGAAAACACAGAAACTGAATTTTCGGAACACACGCATAAAATATTTGACAGTTCGGAACAGTTTGTGTGGGAAATTAAAATTGTTGCTATTTTTATTTTCCATGCAAATAATTTCTCATCGTTTAAACCTTTCCTGGACTGCCACTATTTACTTACACAATATTTCAAAACCAAAATTAGCGATACCGGTCGAGCCTAACGAACAGCAATTCATTTATATATATATAAGAAGATAGTACGAGTAGTCGTGAATAAAAGATAAAATTTATCACTAATGCAATAAGTTCAAATGCGCTCTTTTTAAAATTAAGTATCTGATTAAATCGTATAGAAAAACTACTCGTATTAAAAGTGAGTTAAAAAGTGAGTTAAAAAGGTTAAACGCTTTAATGTTCCCGATATGCGTGTGTTGCATTCCCAAGAAACGTCATGACTTGTTTCCACTAAGAAATAAAACTTCGACATGATTATGCCTAAATATTAAGTAACACCACAATAAACATTCATTTTGTTATTTTTTTTGTAGCATAGTGTGGCTTTTCATTAGATGTCTAAACTGTCTATCTTCCAAGCTATATATTTATTACTTATTTTTCTACTTCACTGTAATCTATCGTCGACACAGTCATCGGATACTTAGCACTACATCTTTCCATCTTTTTTTGTTCCTAACTCTTGACCTTTGACCAGGCACAGAAAGTTGCAGTGCCAAATTTCCCACGCTGTTTGGTGGCCTCCTCTTTACATGCCCGTACCACCACAGCCTACTGCCCGATCTTATCGGCGATGTTGCATACGCCAAGGCTTCCTGTTACACACTCTATCTAGCCTACTAAAACAGCACATCCACCCAGCACCTTCAATATAGCCACTTGGATGGTAAGGACACGTTTTCGGGTTACTGCCCAAGTCTCGCCGATCACTGCCGTACATAAGAACGAGCCTTATGATTGTCTAGTAAATCAAGAGTTTAAGAGGCATTATTTTGTCACATGTAACGCCAGTTACATCGCGCCATTACAGCTATGCAACGGCTAGTCGGTGTTGAATGTGGTATTCCAAATTCGCAGAATCTGTGCATCATGGTACCCCCAAACCTAATAATCGCACTTGGTAACCAATTGTCCATCGATGGAAATCGGGCTATCATCATAGGGATCTGGTTAGTTCAGGGCCGTACGAGTAAACTGGGGCTTTACAACAGTTAACACATAGCGTGGAGCTGGTGCTTCCCCGAGACAAGGGCACCCTGTAACTCAGCAAGGCTCACAGTGCAGGTAGCTACGTCGTAGACACCTTAGCTAATAAAAAAACATGTTCATAAAATGAAAACTACTCGCTCAAACTATGTTAATTATAAAAGTAAATAAATATATTATGGGACCAAATGGCAACTCCTCCGCATCAAACTAAAGAAGAATCACGTAAATAGGATTATAAATATTAGCGTGATCGGTGTACATACATAAAAAAACATCAATCGAATTGAGAACCTTTTCCTTTTTTAAGTCGGTTAAATATCGGCGAGGTTAGGTTATAAAATAGTACGAATCAATATTTAATTCATAACTGTTGAAGGTTTGTGTGCATTTTT